TGTTAGTGATGACAGCTCCAGACTGGGAATTAAGAAAACCTGACTTTAAAATCAAGTAAAATTGCCCCAGAAATTGAAGGAGCTAAGACTAATCCTGTCTCTCTCTGAGAAAGCTGTTGGAGTAGATCCAATTATTTTCCTGGCTTGTCTAACATCCCTGCTTGGCCAAATCTAAGAGATTAAATTTGGTGTTGGCCTTAGGAATATAAAATTTTTAAATTTCAGCAAATGAAAGCAGGAAACATTTAATTTATGTATAAATAAAATGTGGAAAAAGTGAGCCAAAAATATAGGTGTATTTTGGTACTATATGGAGAGATTCCCGTCTCTCTGAAAATTTAAACAGGTGACCGAAAATGAGATAACTCTTTACTTAGAGACTAACTGCCTTGGTATTTAATAATTGGTAAAGAAATAAATTTATGATACTTAGGTGAGGCAGCACTAAAATAAAATTTGTAATAATTTAGCTCAGGGCAAAATCATATTTTAATTATGCTGACCCTAAACTTTTAATCATATATTAATACAAGCTATGAGAAAGAAAAAGTAAAATTGGTTACTAGGTTTTCAGAGTTTATAAAAAATATTTTTAGAACTTTGGCTCTTCAGTGTCTGCATTTTGTTTGGTTTTTGCTAGCTTTGTTTTGACAAAGAAATCATTCCCATTTCCCTTCAATCACTTATGTATGACCTTGGGCAAGTCACTTATAAAACTCTCAAAACCAGTTTCCACAACTGTAAAATGTTGACAGTTATAGTAATACCTTTTTTAGTTTTACTGAGTAAATTGAATCAGAGAATTTAAAACTCAGCATGGTACTCAGCAAGAAATATCATACATACTACTGAGTGCAAATAAAAGTGCTGTTTTTAAAAAATGACTATTGCCAATGACAACAAGTTTTGAGTATTTACTATGTATTTATGATATGTGTTTCAAACATGTTATAAATAGGATCTCCAACAACTATGTACTATTTTACAGTTGAACAATAATGCTATATAGGAAGTTAAATAATGTTATAAGGTCACAAATTGAATAAATAGTGAAAAGAAGAATCAAACTGTGTTAAACTAACTTGAGAGTCTACACTTACATCTATTAAACTATACTTCTGAAGCCAATGATAGCTAAGAAAAATGATGTCAAGAATACAAATTGAACATTTGAAGCAGAAAAAAGGAAACTTTGTGAGAGATCTGCAAGGTATTAAGAAAGTGATGCAAATTTTAAGGAAAAATCAGTTATTTAAACCCAACTGGGGATTAGAGGTGATACAGATAAGCCAATATAGACAGCTAGCACTACACAGATGCAGTTAAATAAACAAATGAATCAAGTCAACTAATTTTGAATCTGAAAAGTCCTTGGACTCTAGTCATGTCTTATAGGGAAAGCTGACTGATCTCTGACACATGGCATATGTATGAGGTTACTCTGGAAGGAGGTAAGCATGGCTAGGTTAAAGGCCTAAATTTGGGAGCTAAACAAATATTGTCAATACTTTATGAATATGCAACATCGAATGGTATTTTGTAAAATATGATATATTAAAAGTGTAATGTTATAATAAAATAAATATCAATTACAGAAAAATATAGTCAAATAATACAAAGATCTAATTCCAACAAAACTAAGAGAATTACAAGACAGTGCCAGCATGCCATTCAATCTAAACCTATAACAAAATCTATTTCTGATCTTTCTCACTTTAGGAGGTAAGATGTAAACTATTAACTTATTTGCATTTTAAAAAGGAAAAATGTTCTCCCAGGATTCTAAAATTAGATCGTGGTGATGGTTGTATATTTATAAATATATTGAAATTCATTGAATTGTACTCTTACAACAGGTGCATTTTATATTTTGTATCTCAAAAGACCCGGTTAAAAAAAATGTGCCCTCTACTGGGAAACTGGGGTTAGTCAGGTTGTTAACTTGGAAATAGGTCTCTGTGACCCGTCAGAAAATAAGTATGAGTGTCAGATGTATATGAGACCAGAGCAGCAGTTAAAGACAACTGGGATTTGATGATCAAGTTATCTTTGCCTCACTCATTTCCCCTTGAACAAAGAGAGCAGAAATAAAAATAAAATTAGGAAAAAAGTTCAGGTATGTGCAAAGATTTCAAGCTCATTCCTTAAAAAAAAAAAGAAAAGCCTCAAAATTAGTCACTAGAATATCTAGTACATACATAAAGAACAGTGGGTGAAATTAATGAAATGTCAAATGTACTTGAGGAAGTAAAAAATCAAACAAGCAAAAAAGAAACACTTTTAGACTCTGACAACAAAATGGTGGTCACTGGAGGGAATGGGGTTTGAGAAATGGCGAAAAATGGATAGAGGGCATTTGTGGATAGAGGTTAGTGGTAATTAGACCTCTGGTGGTGAGTGTGATGCGGTATATACATTTATCAAGGTGTTAAGCTATACTCCTGAAACATAAATTGTACTATAAATCAAAGGTACACCTCAATGAAAAATAAGAAGGCCCAGAACAATTACTACAACAAAGTAAATTTTAACATATTTCATATGGGAGAAAGAAAACAAAAATAGATATCACATCGTAAGACACATGTGAAAATGTTCCATGTCTGATAGGAAACTTGACCACGACTTGAACTATTCCTTATATAGTTTATATTGGTATAAGTCAATAAATACACTCTACATACTGATATAATATTCTTGATAGTAATATACCTTCATATTTCATAAGACAAATACAGAGAAAATGGAAAGATAGATTTATTTTTTTTTTTTGATTCTGAGGTACCTACTGAAGAAGGGTAAAAATGCCTTAATTATTTTCATTCCAGGCATTTCTTTCCTAAAGTAACAATGTAATAATATTTCTATAAAACATGTAGTATTTATGGAGTTATTACTGATTATAGTAGAATGCCTACTCTTTTAAAACAGTGAAATGATGTTAAGACTATAACAATGAACAATGATTAAAACCAAAGTCTTATTTTAGACTAGAAACATTTTGTTTCTATAAAGATACCAATACATACATGAATGTCATTGAAACAAAAATGGATATTGATATTTTCAATGCCCACCAGATTTTCAAAATGTTTTATTATTAAAAATTAATTATTAAAGAAATAACAAACACCAGAAATCTGACTGTAGAATTGAGACTGCTACAGGGGGAGGGAGGGAGGCAGAGCAAAGTGGGGAGGGGGCACGTTGAACTAAAGTAGAGGATTATTACCACCTTTGGTGGGTGTAGTGTGATAACATACACCTGAAGGGTGTGATCTTATACTTTTAAATCATAAACAATTGTAGTAGACCAATGTTATCTCAATAAAAAAAAATCTAAGTCAACAATTTCAATAACTCACCACACTTGCTTTTCCTAACTTATTCCTATATAGTTTAAAGAAAGTTCTAGAACCCATCTCTTCATCCCCAAAATAATAATAATCTTTAGAAAAGTATAAAATTGGTAATTATTATATTTTCTTTAATTTGAAACATCACTGAGTAGAAACATATATCAAATATATCAATTTTTATTTTTATTTTTTTTTAAAGTTTTTTTTTTAATTTTATAGAGGCATGTTTATTTATTTATGTATTTATTTATTTGCTTGTTTTGTTTATACATGCACTGGGTACAGTCAGAAGCGCGGGAGGGTGAGAGAATTCACCAGAGCCAGAGCAGGGAGCAGAGCAGGCAGAAGGACAGAAGTACACTGCTGAGGGGAGCAGCGGGCCGCAGGAGAGGTCTGCGCACCATGTGGGACCATCCTCCGGTGGCTGGGGAGCAGCCGGGGATCGAACCGGTGCCGCAGAGGCTGCGGGCAGGTTCGCAACCCAGCGCTCAACCGCTGCGCCACCGGGGAGGCCCAAATATATCAATTTTTAATCATGGCATGATGATGCATACATTTGAACTTTACACATTTAGAAGAATAATTGTTAAAAATCTGAAAAGTTCAGTTCCATTCAGATACATTTGACTCATTTTTTTTCTACTAGAAATTGTAATCTAAAAGCATAGGCAGGGCCTCCCCGGTGGCGCAGCGGTTGAGCGCTGGGTTGCAAAGCTGCCCGCAGCCTCTGCGGCGCCGGTTCGATCCCCGGCTGCTCCCCGGCCACCAGAGGAGGGTCCCACATGGCGCGCAGACCTCTCCTGCCGCCCGCTGCTCCCCTCAGCAGTGTACTTCGGTCCTTCTGCCTGCTCTGCTCCCCGCTCTGGCTCTGGTGAATTCTCTCACCCTCCCGCGCTTCTGACTGTACCCAGTGCATGTATAAACAAAAAACAAACAAACAAATAAATAAATAAAAATAAAAAAAAAAAACATGCCTCTATAAAAAAAAAAAAATAAATAAAAAAATAAAAGCATAGGCAAAACTACAAACATTCTAATATAAAAGAAAAAGCAGTAGCAAATTTATTCTATGTCATATTTGCTGCTCTATTACATTCAAATATTTCTATTTAATAATATAAGTCCATAATTCCTCTCAATGCTAAAACTGGAAATAAAATGTACTATTTGAAGTGCAAATCCTAACAGTGAATAGGCAAGTTTCAAATATTATAAAATATTTAAAATTCCAGGATTTAATATATAAGGTTTAATACAATGTGAATATTGGCAGTAAATATATTAGGATATAATTCAACATGTGATCACTTTCATTTATATAGGCTAGTAGTATCTGTCACTATAAAATTTAAATGAATTAGTAACACTGATGATAGCACTACAATACTTTCACATAAAATCTAAGGAATTCAAATTTATATAAGCATTGATATAAATGCTAAACTATCATCCTAATGAATCCATAATCTAAATTAGTATTTTAGCTCTAAGAGCCATATTTCAACTTTTATCTAATTGTATTTTAAACATAATTTTTTCATATATGTGCTTTAGGATGACTGAAGAACTGAAAAATTGTTTAAATATAATTTTCTATCTCTCTCTTTTTTTTTTACCTATATATCTGTGATTAAAACATACCTTCAAAATAACCATCTCTTCTGGGCTGTATCTTCTTTGGTGATTTTGAAAAGGAAACTTTATCTTCATTGTTTTTGAATAATTCTAAGCGCACAGTGGCATCTAGACAAAAGAGCAAGGCGAGACAGAAGTTCAGTTCTAAGTCATTACTTATTTGAAATGGCCACATGTTATAGTAATAAAAAATAGTACTAAATAATAGTACTAGTAATAAAAAATACCTATTCTCTAAGACTGTGAAATTACTGATGTTATTTAAAAATCTTCACAATGGTGAAAATATATACTAACCACTCCTATATTCTTGGATATTTGCTTAAATACATACACATATATTAAACACAAAGAGCAGAAATACTAGCAATATGAAAAGTTTACATTAAATTTTCCAGTTCTGGTATCATCTTTTATTTGGGGAGTTTTACTGTTTATTATTTTAGTTCCTGTCTTAAATTCCTGATATTTCTGCTGAAATAAAGTAAAATTTCCATAAATGCGCAATATATAAACTTTTACTACAGGAAGAATTATACACCTGACTTTATCTCTAGCCTGTGAGCTGGGGTATTGGAGATGGAAGCAAGACAATTAATGCGATGAAGATCAGATACAAAAAATCATTTTGTTAATTTAACAGATAATTCAGTGGCTTCTCTTTTGCTCTAATACATTGTATTTACATAACAAAGATGCATAAATTCTATATACTTCATAGCCAAGAATATTCTAGATTTATTAATTTACAAAATAAATAGGATGACTGTAAATGTAGGGCCCTGTAACTTTCTAGTAGTCATGAGTGGTTTTATGAAATATGAAGTTGGGGATTGGACACAGTTGAATTAAGATAAAGGCTCTTGCTTGTTGAAGAACTGTGAGGAAAAATTAGTGGTGTCCATAACAAAGTGTAGTGTAAATGGAAAATTACACATTTAAAGTAGGTTATCATAAAACCACACTTATTGGAAGCATACTTTTTTTAATATCTCATGTCATCTTGGGAAAAGAGTTTTAGAGGTCTTTGATTAATACTTAGTATAAAAGAACTGAATATGCTAATTGGAAAAATAAGATTTTAAATATTACAAAGTTCAAAATACATATTTTAATTAAATGTTAAGGCAGCATGTTTTTTTAAATGTACATTTGATAGCAAAATAATACTTGCAAAGTTATTCTCAAGTATGAACAAACAGTAGAGTTCCATTAGTCTTCTTCTAATAATTTATCCTTACTAAAGATGATTTACATGTTTCACAGAGGAATCTATTTCTGAAGATTAGGGAAAGTATTGTTCAATATTTAGATATTGTTCATAATTATATATGCCTAAAGTATTATGAGTTGAATCTTCTAATGTATTCAATAGGATTTGTCAAGAAGAATAATAAGAATCTGTGAATATATATTCAATATAATAAATATTATATATCATCTAAGTCATTTACAAAAAAAAATCAAGTTGACATGTCAAAAGGAGCATTAGTCACAAAAGAGAGATTACCATGGACATAACATATTCTATGTATTATTTATAACCTTCTGATTTTCCTACACATTATCCTACTCTCTTTCCATTCTGTTTGATCTATGTATTTCCTGAGCAAAAACATTACAAATTAACAGACCTGGTTTAGATCCAAGTGGCAACTTTTCTACTTGTAGGTATCTGAATATATTCCTCTTATTTTTTGCCTTCTCTGTCCAATAGAAATAATATTGATTTGAAATATTACTGTGAGAATTAGTGAAATAATGTGTTTAAAATAGCAAAACCAAAGTGTTGGTACTCAAATGTCAGCTAGTAGACATCTTAAAGGCTTCGTAGAAAAAGATAGGATATGTAAGAAATAGATTGATGGATCCACAGCTGTCTCCATTTTATTCAGTATAGCAAGCACATGGAATAAAGGTGTGGCTTGTCTATGAGTTCTTTGGCACTCTCTTGGGCAAATAATCTCTTTATGACTTGATTTCTTAATAGGTGAAATGTGTAACAATAGCACTTTTCTCATACTGTTACCAATATTAAATAAGTTATAAAATATTTACAAGAGTTATCTAGCTTAATTTACTCAATAAAATAATTTTATTCATTAAGAGTAAGGATTGTCATTTTCAGTATCATTTTATTGTAAAACATTCTGATTAACTGCACTTTAAATTGAATTAAACCTTAAATCAAATTAAAAATGGATTATGATAAGAATCAAAGATCATATCAATTTGAGATGTGAAAAAAAATCACTTGGTTTTGATAATTCTTGAAAATATCACTGTGAATAAGACTAATCTTATTCTAAAAAATGCACAATTGAATAAGAATGCCAGGAGATAATATTCTAAAGACTATTGCTTGTGACACTTTTCTTGCATTAAAAAGTCAGTGCTGTACTTTTTTTTTTAAAGATTTATTTATACAAAAATCAGGGAACAGGCCAGATTCGTGGAAGGGTGAGAGGATTTACCAGAGACAGAGCAGGAAACAGAACAGGCAGACTGACGAAATACACTGCTGAGGGGAGCAGTGGGTGAGACAGGAGAGGTCTGCTCGCCATGTGGGTTGCTCCTAGGCCAGCGGGGATTGAACTGGCACTGCAGAGGTTGCAGACAGCTTCATAGCACTGCGCTCAACTGCCTGTGCCACCAGGGAGGTCCCCAGTGCTGTACTTTTAAGTCTACTCCTCTAAGATCATCATGGCAGTTCTATATTGCTGTTTTTTTTAATTTTTTGTTATTAATATCTATCTCCCAACATGATTTACTCAGTGTCTAGGAAATAGATTTTAAATATAGCTTTATATTTAAAGAAGGCCATAAGTAAGCTGAGTTTCTGTTATGCTTGTATATCTGTACTTGACACTTCAGAACCATAATCTCATTTCAGTAACATAATTTTATTTAGGCATTAGAGTATCCTTAAAATTATTTCATCCCTTGTGTAATCCTTTTTCATTCTATAATACCAATCTTAGTTCACTGGCTTATTATTGTTGATTTCATAGATAAAAATCTGGTTATGATCCATTTTTTATATGTGCCAAGTATAGCAGTGATGTAAAATAAGTTTTATATTAAGGATGAATGACTAGTTATATTTCATCATATTATAAGGAGTATTACTTACTAATTTAAATTTGCCTTTCCGTATATAAACATATTTACAAGGCTGTCATACACACACAGAGTCAAATGTATTTAGTGACTATCTAATTTATGCTGATTCAATCAACAGTTGCACATTTACCATACACTAGACATAGTATTAGGTTCTGGAAATTCAGTGGGGAACAAAGATCTTACTATACAGATGAGTTTTACTATTATTTTGTTGAGAGCACAAGAAAGCAATATTTGACAAAAATTCTTGCAAATTCTTTTTGGTAAATTACTGAGTAAACAAAATAAATCATTGGTAAGTTAATTTTGGTACAGCTTTATCTATATCCTGTTCTCTTTTGATCCTTCTGTCTTAACACTCTATCATTTTGCAACCTGATTTTATTGCTATAACTCAAGAACTACTTAATTTATATTTAAAGTTAGCTTTTCCTATTTTCTACTTAAACTCTTGGCTATAACTATAATATTCTCAGCACAGTCTCAAACTTATTTTCTTCATGGAAAAAAAAAATCAGCAAATACATACCGAATACTTGAAATGTAGTCGACACTGTGCAATTGTGGCAAACAGCTGCAAGATTATTCTTATCACTCATTGTGGCTCTTCCCTTACAACTAAATTAACCTTGTTTCCTTCATTCTGTGCTTTCTTTTTTCTAACTATGAAATTTAATCTGCATAAATATGATAAATGCAGAAAAACCATATTACATCTTCATCCTTTTATTCTTGGCTCTTAAACTTCTTACCAGCTGCTTTCTACCAAAATTTCTATACTCAGCCCTCATCCTCTCTGAAGAAAGCACCACACCCCATTGAGCTCATCTAAGTCTTTGTTACCAATTATGTTTACTACCTTGAGGTGAATGGCGCTGCATGTTTTCAATAAACCAGCAACCCTCACCTTGCACATGATGCTCTTCATTGAATTCTTTAAATTTAAACTGCCCTGGTATCTGTTAAATTCTGATGCAGATCACCAAACTCTGAAATTATGTTTGTGCGTGATGCAACACCAAACAAACAAATAAAAACTTTACCAAAACAAGACCAGTCATTACTGGTTAATGTTTATGTTCAAAAACATTACTCTAAGTACCAGATTGTAAATCATTTTACATTCTTATTACTGTGTTAGTAACAACAATAGGAACCCGAGCTCAAACAGATGAGAACTCATTACAGTTTACGATTCCAACCCATAACTGATTTCCAATCAATGCCTGCTTTCTCTCCTGCTTCTTTTTAACAGCTACACTCACTTATCCCAATAGAAGTATCAATATTGAGTCTTCTCTGATGGCTGCATGTTTCCTCAGTCCTTGCTTCTTCATTAATCAGCAACCTTGGTGGTATTCTTCTGTATCTGAAATTTCCTTAGATAATTGGTCCCCTGCCATTTATCCTATTTTCACTCTCATCTTAAATCAAATAGTATTGAATAATATCACTTGACTAATAAATATATGTGCATTATACAAACAGGAAATGATATTAAGTGATTGCTATTGAGTAACTTGCTCTAAGGTTTTTCAAAGCAGTGATTTGGATTAAAGTTTCCACATGCTGCATTTACACTTCCTTGAGGATTACTGCTTTGTTAGATTGTAGGATGTAATTGGTTTCATTCAGTTAAAGTTTCTATTTTCTGAGGCCTCTCCCTGTCACCCTCCCTAACTCCACAGAGCTGGTTAATTTCCTATAATTTTATGGACAATGTTGCCCTCTGGTGGTTCAAAAATTTCAAATTGGCAAATTCTTACAAGATTTAAATCTCTGTGTATATTTGACAATTACTAATAAAATTTTAGTATTTAACAAATTTGAATATTTAAAACATCTTTTGATTAGTGAGTAAAAGATTAAAATTATCATTTAGGCAGCAGCATGCCATTGAGTGAAATATACACATGGAAAATCATGTGTATGGTGTAAATAGAAAACCAGTGGTAGAAAGACTTAAATGGGTTTCTCTCACAGATCAAAATGCTACATCGTCAACTTAGTAGAAGAATAAACTTTCATAATTGAAGAGGATCCCACTGATTGCTATATATATATTTTTTTGTTTAATCTTATCTTGAATATATTTGTTGTGGGAGAGTAAATAGAGTAAGGAAAATTTCAAGGCCATCATTATTTTACATTTCAGCACTCAAATTTCAAAGAAAAAAATGCTTTATTTTGTGAATCTAATAGTATTGTGAGGGGAAGCAAAAATAAAAAGTTTAACATAGAGATGCAAAATTTCACACAGTAATAAGAATACAATTTGGTTTACAATCTTGAAATTAGAGTAATGATTCCCATAAAAATTAAACAACTATCATTTGGATTTTTATCTAACAGTTTATGCTTAATGACCATTGTCAAATGTTAAGAGTAAGATATAGTTGTTGGCTGACTGGTTGTTCTCTTTTCATTTGTTACCCTACCATGCCCCCTTGTGACAGTTAAAAAGATATTTAATCTTTTTTAATTTTTATTACAATGATGCCTAATCGTTGGCCTTTAAAAACAATGATTTTATACCTGAGTATATATTCCTCATTGAAACTTTTGATAAAAATATTATTTGCTATGCTGATTTATGAAAAATTTACTCAAACTAAAAACAGTACTCAGATACAAGAACTGGTAAAAAGGACCTATGTATTTTCATAGACAATGAAAAGTTAAACAACATAAGCTTTTACTTAACTTCACTCTCAGAGACTACTACAAACACCGTAAGTATCTATAAAAATATAGATTTTTATCATAAATAAGTAATAATTACTTGTTGAACATTGGCTGAATCTGTTTTAAAACCATTTCTGATATTTGAACTTACTGCAGGAATTTCAGAACTTTTATCATTCTCAAAACAACTGTTAAAAGAATGTTAGTTAATATTGTTGAAGTTGAGCTGACATATACTTCAAGGCAATAAAAAACTTATCAGACTACTCTGATACCGTACTAGATTCCACTTCCTTGGATCCAAAAGAAGTCTCACTACAGTTAAGGGCAGAATGTTGTTATTTTCCTGGGTACCCTCCACATAGTATTCAGTTCACAGATCCCTCATGACATAATAGGGATTTACAAAACAAATGTGCAGGATATACAAAACAAGTTGATGAACAGACCACATATGTACTATAAAAGGGCTTAAAATTTCAATATTTTAGACTTGACAAGCTTTAGTACATAACAAAAAATATAAGTTATCAAACACAAAATAGGAGTACTAATATAACACCAAAAAAAGAAAGCTGAACATTTGTAATTATAAAATAATCATCAGTAATTTTCAATGGTTGGTATGTATTGTACCAACAGCATTTTGGTAATTTTATTTCTATTTTTTTCTTACTATATATATGTGTTAGAATTCTATTACTGAACTAATGATTAAAAATAACACATAGAAAGGTAATAAAGATAAAAATAAATCTTATTAATGTTTCTTTGTAAAAAAAATAAAGTTACATAAGCTAAAATTCTAAGGATAAGTATAGATCCATTGCTCTTCTCATGAATGATAGTAATTTTATGGAAACATTTCACTGGCAGTAATATCTTTGTAAGAGAAACTCATAAACAAGAGAAGCTCAAAATAATCTTATGAAAGGCATTTTATTTATGAGTAGTGCAAAAAAAGACATTTTACTTGTGAGTTCATGAGTAAATATTTATAAAATCATAATTAAATGCAAAGTTATATGCAATAGCAAATAATTTTAAATAGTTTTAAGTACAGATATAAAGATATAATAATCTATTATTTTAAACTAGTCCACATATTAGGTAATTTCTGCAAAATAACTAGAGGTGTCCAAAGAAACAGAAATAATTTGAAAAATACCCCAGGCTATTCTGGGATAGAAGAGAAGATGTCTTTGAACATTTCCTAAGTTTTGCATAATCATGAAAGATATATATTGTGCTTCTTTTCCAAAATGTCAAATTGTGAAGTTTTCATAGCTAAAATTTATGGAATTAATGAATTTTTAAAAATAGTAAATTTAACATTGAAGCAATTTTTTAACACACAATGTTGAATAAGGACACAGAGCAGAGCTGTTTAGAATCAATATTTACCCAAATAAATCAGCTTACAAACAAGTTACAGCATCATTCTCAGTGCACAATAGATGGAATAATCAATAACAAAGTTGGTAAGCAGGAGGAGAAACATGAGAACAGTATCGAAGAGTATAACAAATCATTCAACGTAATAACATGAATTTCTCTAAGTTTTTTGTTATTATAGAATGACTAACTTAAATATACTCATATCTCTGCATATTATTTCTGTTCTCATTAAATACAATTTGGTAAAATATTTTAAAATAATTTATCTTCAATATCGGAGAGTAATTATTCAAAGAGCTTTATTTACTTACCTAATTTTTTCCTTAATTTCTTTGATTTCATTTTCTGTGCTCTCTTCAGCATTTGCTGAGCAGTGGAAATATCTTTAAAGCCCCTATTAAAAGATTAAATTTAAGAAAGGCAAAGCAAATATCCAGACCATATTTACATATGCATTTACATGTAAATATACATATCTGAATTATATTACCCTAAAACAAATATGGGTGCACACATAAGAGTCTTCAGTTTAACAGATATTTTGTATCTTAAGAACTAACAAAAGTATTCTTGAAGTCTTGAAAAATACCTGTATTAGACATTTAAAAGTCAATTTGTTAATATTTTAGTATAAAATAGACCACATACCATTCTTCTGAAATTTTTTCTTCTTTTTCAGATTTTAGCAAACTCTTTTTACTGGTTTTTGATTCAGGTGTCAAGGATAAAGTTCCATTTTCTGACCTGGCAATAGAAAAAAACACATTAACTAACACAAGTATACCAGCGCTTTTTAAAACTACAAGCTGTTTATGTTATCTCAAACTTGAAAATAAAATCAATTTAAGTTACAGAAAAACTTTATCTTGAAAAGTAATAAAAGTCTGCCATTAATTTAAAATGTTTACATTTCAATTACGTAAAGCATATTTCAATCCTTTTGTCGAAAGAAACGAGGCACTGGAATTTTTATTCCATTCCTTATCTCTACACAAATAGTAGTATATAAAAGTCCACTTGCTTACCACGATTAATTACATTATTTCACTGACATATTTTCTAGTTGCTTTAATACACCAATCTCATACAATATTATTATTTACTGGAAATTCCATAAAATCACTGAATTTTTAACATTAAATGTTCTTAAATCTTCAAACAAGTAAATCCACACCTATTTTCATCAATTTACTACTTTTGAAAGAGTGTAATATTCTTGTTATTCAATAGTTGGTCCTCTTAAGAGGTAATTTGCTTACCTGTTATTAAAATGTGTGTGTTCTGATGAAAACATATTTTCTTTCTCACTACATAGCCATGCTTGAGCTGGACGACTTGGTAAATTAAGTGAAGTATCACATTTTAATGTTCCAGAGAACTTATAAAAAAAATGTACATAATTTTAAAATAGGTTGAAAATACTTGCAGTCATATTATATTGCTTTACATGTATATCATCAAGTAGCATTTGAAGAAAAATTTGTGACTTTGCTACATAAAATTTTAATAGTAGATAAAGAAAAAAAAACCCCAAATTTAAAATGTACAGATAAATGACAAACTGAGAAAAACACACATTTATATTATCTAATAAAATATAAAATAATTTTTTAAATGCACATAATAAATGCCCTTTGTTGTGGTTGTGGAGTTTCCCTTTTGGTATAGTTTGCATATGCAAAATGATTAATTGCAAAGATCTATAAAAAAAGCCTCACAAAACAAAAACTTCAAAGATCATCAAATAAATAACAGATATTGCAGTCCATTGACCTCTGACTGAGAATCTTCAGCTGTTGCCCTTTCAATGCATATTTTTGTATTTTTAAAGTGCTGTCAACTAGTGATTTTAGTCTACTGCTGAATATGCAGCTGAAGCATATCATTTTTTTTTGCTACTGTGAAATAAAGTGTTGAAAGAAATCCAAAATAAAGAAAAAAATGAGAAGCAAATGAAAGAAAAGCTACATGAAAAATTACATCTGGGGATGAGGAGGAAGTCAGAGGCTTCTAAAAGTAATTGTGTTTTTCAAGTCAATAAATTGTATTATTAATCATTCCAGCATAGCATAACCTTAAGAAATGAGCAAAGATCGAGCATTAAGAGGTTTCCATGACATGTTACCTTTGGCCAGTGCAGCTGGTTTGGTAGAGACAGTGTTTGTGAAGGGAAGCGGGCGGAATCTAAAGCTAACCATTCTTTCTCTAAGGCAGCCTGCACAAATAATGACATTAAAATGTACATAATTTAGTTTGTGTAACTTTTACAAAGAGTCTTTTAAATTGTCTTACATACTACAAATGTTAAGAAAGTATATCAGAATTTTTATTTACAGGAAAATTCACAATCTGCTACTTGTTATTGTGAGATGTCATGCATCTGTTTAATGCAAACATGCTAAAAATGGGATAAGATTTTTCATTCAAAGCAGATAAGCAAACTGGAGAACTTGAGTGATCTAAAAAATAAGGTGTAAATCCCACTGTAACTGTTGGTAATTCATAATCCAACTCAAGATGTAATTGAAGGACACAATCATTTAACCCTTTATAATGCAAATTATAATATTCTTCCTCAAACCTCACTATTGAAAATTTATAGCATTTTAACATATTAGTTTTTTTTATTTATATAAAAAAGCAAAGATAACTTTTACTCAGTTCTTTTCAAAATTTCACTGAACAGATAAAAAACAGAATTTTATTGCAATATAAGGAACATGGTATCTGATATTATATTTTCTATTCAATTATATATAAATGTAAATTTTAAATGATCCTACTTAAACCTCTTACTCTTCATCTTAAAACATTTTTTTCCTTCAATTTATGTAATTTTCAAGTTTATTTTATCTTTCTGCATTGGAAGTTGTGCTACTGTAGTAAGATTTAGATTCTATTTATCTAAACTACCAAGATCTGGAAAGAACACTGGGAAAGCAAAAATAAGACAACCTGACTCTAGGCTACAGTATAGTAACAGACTTTAATCACAGCATTTTGTCTTAGCATTTCAGGTTATTTGATTATTTATATAAACAGGATACCTCTACTAGGTTAGACAGGTATATTGTTTCGTTCCTTCTAGGGAGAGATTATTTAACTTTTATCATAGTTATGAACCATATATGTGGTTTTTATAAGAAATGTCATTTGATACAAAACTATAACCAGGATTCAGGGCCTAGATTTTTGATTTCTTTCTTAATTTCATATGCCAACTAAAGGAAAATCACATCTATCCTAAAAAAGATCACAGTGTATCAACAAATTACTATTCTTTTTTTTTTTTTGTTGTTAAAAACTGCTAAAATGAAGAGAAGATGTAAAGGAGATATTACTATAAAAGGTAGTGTGCTGGAGGATTCTGGGAAGATGGTGGAGTTGGAACCAAGAAGAATCTGTATTCCAATCTATATAATAATTATGTTAGTAGAATCCACAGAACTATGGAGACTATTGAAGGGTTTTAACTTCCATGGGAAGTGTTGGATTGTGAATTGCAGTTAATTTTGGTCACTTTCAGCTCTTCAGCATGGTGGTCGTTACCTATCTTCCATTCCCAAGGTACAACACAGGTTGTCCAGGAGTAGCTTTTCACAGGTTATGGGAGCCAGGTGGGCAATAAATATTGGAGATTGGCCCTTTGATTATTGACTGTTGCTTCTGATGTTCCTTCTGGTTACTGATTGTTGCTTTGTCCACAATGGCACAAAGAGGTAGATGACCTTTGTTGTGGAATCTTCTCTATTAACAGCCCTCCAGATAAGTGATTTCCAGAAGATTTAAAAGACTTGTTTCCCCCTACACTTCATTTTTCTCTTTTTCCTCTTTTAGAAGGAGACATTAGAGATCAGGCTATTCAAAATCATCTGCATATATGGGGGAAATTAGAGAGTCAAGACACATACTCAAGGTAAGGAACAGATTTAGAAAAGAACTGAAAATATCTTAAGTTTACAATTCAGGTTGATCTTACCCACGGAGAAAGCCTACACAATCAAATAAAGTCAAAGACAAAACTAAAAACAAAATGTCCATCAAACACTGGGAAAGAAATTTTATTTTCAGAGATACCACATTATTAGATTCAAATGTTCACTTTTAAACCAAAAATCACAAGGCATGCAAAGAAATAAGAAAGTTTATGAGCCATTTATAGGCAAAAACAAATAAACAATAAATAAATCTATCCCTAAAAAACACCTACAACATATCTACCACACAAAGACTTCATAATAACTATCTTAAAGATGCTCAAAGAACTATACAAGAGAAAAAATAATGTGTGAACAAAATGTAAATATCAATGAAGAAGAGATAGAAAACCTGAAAAGAAACCAAGATGACATTTTGGAGTTGAAGGAAGAGCTGAATAGGCAGAAAGAAGAAATAGTGAACTTGAAGATAAGACAATGTGAATTATCAAGTCAAATGAATGGAATGAAAAACTACTGGGAAAAAATTGAACAGAACCTAAATGGCCATGGAACACCACTGAGCAAACCAGCATATGTATCATGGGAGTCACAAAGGAAGAGATAAAGGAACAGAGAGATTACTTGAAGAAATGATGGTCGAAACGCCCCTGAATTTGGTTAAAAACATGAATATAAACATCCAAGAAGCTCACTGAATATAAAGTAAGATGACCTTAAAGAGACTCGCACCAACATACATTCCAATAAAACTTTCAAAAGACAAAGAGAATACTGAAAGTAGCAATCAAGAAGAAACTTATCACATATAAGGGATTCTTTTTTATTAAAGACTATTTTTATTTGTACAAGACTTGGGGTACACTCCAGAGGTGCGGGAGGGTAAGAGGATTTACCAGAGAGAGAGCAGGGAGAAGAACAGGCAGACTGACCGAAAGCATTGCTGAGGAGAGCAGCGGGCGAGACAGGTGAGGTTGGCCATGCCATGCGGGAATCTCCCAGGCTGGGCAGGGATTGAACTCGGGCTGCAGAGGCTGCGGGCAGCTTCACAGCACTGCACTTAATTTGCTGCGCCACCAGGGAGGCCCTACAAGGGATTCTTAGTAAGAATATCTGCAGATACTTATCTGCAACTTGGAGGTCCAGAAGACAGTGCTAAAAGAAAAAAGACCCTATTAATCAAGAATCCTATATGTGGCAAAACTGTCCCACAAAATTATGGGGAAAATTAAAACATTCCTATATAAACAAAAGCTGAGAGAACTCATTACCATTAGCCTTGCCCTGAAAGAAATACTAACGGGAGTCCTGCAGGTTGAAATTAAAGACTGCATTTGGAAACCACATGACGAAATAAAGATCTCAGTAATAGTAAATAGATGGGTCACTATAAAAGTTAATATTATTTATTAACAACTTTGAAACTCTACATTTTGTTTTCTACATGATTTAAGAGACTAATACATTTAAGAACTATTATTATTGTAATTTTGGTTTGCAACTTTCATTTTATTTTTTACATGATTTATGAGAGGTAATTATTAGTTTTGTTTTACACTATATATAAAAATATAATTTTTGACATCATCAACTGAAAGTGATGGAAATAAAGCAATAAAGAACATAATTCCTATATGTTACTAATTTTAAGTTAGCATGAATTCAAATTAGAGTGTAATAATCTTAGTATATAAGTATGAAAGGGGGAATACAGAATTATTGTTTTAATGGGTTTTATAAGATGAAAAGGTCTAAATATAGATGATGCTGATGGTAGCATTATGAATGATCTTAATAACACTGAACTGTACACATAAAATAGTTAAGATGGTACACTTCATGTTAGGTGCATCTAATAACAATTTTTAAAAAATGGAAGGAAAACAAGATAAGGTGTCACCTGAGGAGTGACTGTGGAGAAGGATCAGCATTAAGGAGTCTGACTTTTGCCTGGTTTTATATAGACAAATCACTTTTTTTTAAGAAATATGTGCCAGATCACCAATTTTTCATATTCTCTAAGAATCCAGCTGTTTTATTTCTGTGGCAGGACAAGTACCCACAAAATACAGTGTTTTTTTTTTTTTTTTTCCATATTATATAGATGTTGATAGAGTTCTCCTACTTGGAAAAAGATTAAGCACTATGGACTCAAGTACCAAGAAACTATCTTATTTATCACTGCTTCAGAGATTTATTATGAATAGTATGTAATAGGTATATATAATGTTGAGAAATAGTTCTACATGGGTCCCTCACATTCCTGCTTGCCTTATGACAGACTATCTTTTCAGGGATGCTTGTATAGTTCAAAGTTTGGGAAAACAGAGATAGTGCTTCCCTTCCTGTCAGAGGGCACTATGTTACCAAGACCCGACTGATGGTGTCTGAACATGCTTCTCAGTGGAGACAGGAACTACAGTTAACATGTGGGGAGGGCCCTTTCAATAAACTCAATACACTATTGTTATTGCTTCTATATCTGAATGTATGGTAAAAATTGTCACATTACATGTTTTATATTCCCGTCCCATAAGTGCCAGAGGGGACTGCCCCACTAAGAAGAGAAAAATTTCAGGCACTAAAGTGATAGCATGATAAATTATCTTGTGATTGACACCTGGGGGGAAACCAATAGGTCAGAAGTAGCTTGAGGGCCTCCCCGGTGGCGCAGCGGTTGAGTGCTGGGTTGCGAAGCTGCCCGCAGCCTCTGCGGCGCCGGTTCGATCCCCGGCTGCTCCCCAGCCACCGGAGGAGGGTCCCACATGGCGCGCAGACCTCTCCTGCCGCCCGCTGCTCCCCTCAGCAGTGTACTTCGGTCCTTCTGCCTGCTCTGCTCCCCGCTCTGGCTCTGGTGAATTCTCTCACCCTCCTGTGCTTCTGACTGTACCCAGTGCATGTATAAACGAAACAAACAAACAAATAAATAAATAAAACATGCCTCTATTAAAAAAAAAAAAAAAAAAAAAAAAAAAAAAAAAAAGAAGTAGCTTGAGCATCTCTACCCTATAATATCCAAAACTTGCTATATAGATGATATCCTGACGGTTGTCAAGTCAAATGGCTCTCCATTATATCTTAATTTAAAAAAAAAGCCTGGGGGGCCTGCCCTGGTGGCACAGGCAGTTGAGCGTAGGGTTGTGAAGCTGTCCACAGCCTCTGCAGTGCTGGTTCGATCCCGGCCGGCTGGCCGGCGAGTATCCCACATGGCGCAGCAGACCTCTCCTATCTCGCCTGCTGCTCCCCTCAGCAGTGTATTTCGTCACTCTGCCTCTTC